TGGTTCTCTGTGAGTTCGAGGCCAGCCTGGTCTACAGAGCAAGTTCCAGGATAGGCTCCAAAACAATATAGAGGAAACCTTTCTTGAAAAACCACACACACAAAAAAGAAGTCCTGGCTGCTCTTCCAGAGGACCTGAGTTCAGTTCCTAGCACCCTCATGGAAGCTCACACCTCTCTGTAACTCCAGTTCCAGATCTCATACCCTCTTTTGGCTTTCTTAAGCACCAGGCATACAAATGAACAGATACTCACGCAGTCAGAGCACCCATACACAATAAGCAGAATGAATTAAATTTTTTGTCAGGCAGTGGCAGCACATGCCTTTAATCCCAGCACTCAGGAGGCAGAAACAGAGGGATCTCTGTGAGTTTGAGGCCAGCCTGATCTACAGAACTAGTTCCAGGACAGCCAAGGCTGTTATATAGTCAAACCTTGTCTTGAAAAACAAAAGATTTGAAACCTGGGTTAGAGCCGGTGAGTTGGCTTAGTGAGTTAAGCTATTGCTACCAGTCCGGACATCCGGAGTTCTAGCCCCAGGACCCATGCAGTTGAAGGAGAAAACTGACTTCTACTAGCTTTCCTCTGACCCCACAAACACTAAATCATTAATTAGTTCTTAAAAGAAAAATGTAAGGCAGAGTCTGGTGGTAGACCCTTGTAATGCCTGCACTGGTGGGCGCGGGGGTGACCCAGGACACACTGTTGACAGGTAGATCTCTGGGCCACTGGCAGTCACCGTATCCTGTTTGAGTTCCTAGCCAGTAAGACCCCCTGTCTCAAAGAGGAGCGATGCGGGGCCTTATCCCCAGCCTCGGCATGTGCACACATGCACAGAGAACAGAAGGCAGAGAGAAGGAAGTAAGGAAGGGAAGAGATTGGGTATGATTACACACGGGCCAGAGTTCTGTCGAGATGAGTTGAACCTAAGCTGAGAAGAGCAGCCCACCTTCCCTGAAGATGAAGAAGTCAGACAAGCTCTTCCTTTTCCTTTATTTTTGGTTTTCTGAGACAAGACTGGCCTAAATTTGCTGCAGTCCTGGCTAAGCCTCGGGAGTGCTGAGACCACAGATGTGTGCCACCACACCCAGCCATTCCCACTCAGAATTGTTCAAGCACAGGCCTAGAAGTTAAGAAGCCAGCCATGCAGAAAGTATTTGGGGCAAGAACAATAATCCAGGGGCTGGAGAGATGGCTCAGTGGTTAAGAAGACCAGGGTTCAATTCCCAGCACCCACATGGCAACTCCAACTGTCTGTAACTCCAGTTCCAGGGGATTTGACACCATCACACCATTGCACATAACATAAAGTTAAATAAATGATTTAAAAAGAAAAGAACAACAATCCATAGAAAGGCCAAAATCAGAAAGGAAAAAGAGGCCAGGCGGTGGTGGCGCACGCCTTTAATCCCAGCACTCTGGAGGCAGAGGCAGGTGGATCTCTGTGAGTTCAAGGCCAGGCTGGACCGACAGCCTCCAAAACAATACAGAGAAACCCTGTCTTGTAAAACCAAAAAAAAAAAAAAAGGAAAAAGAAGAGTGGGAGCCCTGAGCAGTAGTGAGATTGGCAGTGGGTGGGTGGAGCCAGCTGCCAGCAGAGGGCAGCCCTTGAAGCCAAGTAATACAGATGTGTGGCTTCCATTTGGGACCAAGCACAAAGTGACACTATCATTAAATGAAAATTATTGGAAGCCTGTGTCCCTACCACACCTCACTGCTAGCACGCTGCTGGCCCTCAGAAGCTCCTGACGTCTGCTTCACAGTGAGGAATGGGGCGGAGGAAGCCGAGTGCAGTGACCAAGCGAGTATTTAAAGCAGGGCTCGACCTTACCTGGAGCGAGGTGGTAGCAGCAGCAACAAAGAAGTGGGGTTTGGATGGACGAATGTGTAGAGACTGGGGAAATGAAGACCAGTGGCCCTTCAATCCTAGGAACTGGAGGATGGTAGATAGCAGTAGTGTAAGTTGGGACCACTGGGTGTGAGTAGTCGGACCAACAGGACAGACTAGGAGTGGGGTAGAGCTTCCATGCACAGCCTGCTTTCCTTCTGGCAGTGGGAGGAGCAGCACAGAGGACGGAGCTGTGAGGACTTCCAGAACTGGAAACGCACCAATGACCCAGAATACCAGGCTCAAGGCCTGGCCATGTATCTTCAGGAAAACGGCATTGGTAAGGCTACTCCATTTAGCTTGTCTGCCGATAGTCTTACCAGCAGAGGCTTCCTTCTTGAGGGCCTGGCTTACAGGGCTGCCCTCACCCTGAGCTGCTGTCCCTTACAGACTGCCCCAAGTGCAAGTTCTCGTATGCACTGGCCCGAGGGGGCTGCATGCATTTCCACTGCACCCAGTGTCGTCACCAGTTTTGCAGTGGCTGCTACAATACCTTTTACGCCAAGAACGTGAGTTCAGGGAGTGTGGGACGGAGAGGAGAGCGGCAGCTGTGTTGGGTTTGAGGGGCAGGAACCGGGGGAAAGGAAATGGTCAGCAGGATAGAAAGCCTCTCTCTCTGTCCTCTTCCCCCTTTGTGTGCTTCCCCCTTAATGTCACCATCTCCTCTCCTATACCCCACCTTGTCCAGGGGTTCTTGAGAGTCCAGGACCCCAACAGTTTCCAACTTCCTTTTCCTATTCGGGTTTTACCAGAAATGTCCAGACCCTAATTGCAGGGTGAAAAAGTCCCTGCATGGCCACCACCCTCGAGACTGCCTCTTCTACCTACGGGATTGGACTGCTGTTCGGCTCCAGAAACTGTTGCAGGTCAGAGGTGGCCAGCCTGGCTGGGTGTGTAGATTACTAGAAGGAGACGGTATAGGATGAGCAAGAATGGAAAAGACTGAATGCTAGGAAATGGGGCAGTAGCTGATCAAGGAAAGTAATGCCCATATGTCTCTACTTCTCCCTAGGACAATAATGTCATGTTTAATACGGAGCCTCCAGCCGGGACCCGGGCAGTCCCTGGAGGTAAGTGTCACAAACCTCTCATGTGGAGATGGAATGCTGGGCTCACATTGTGGTGGGTAAAGAGGGACGCTTGGATCTGGGGTCACTTGTGTGCCCTTTGGCAAGGTAGTTAACTTCTCCATGTCTTGTTTCTTCCTGTGTGGGAAGTGAAGGTAATATCTACCCAGTGGCTAAGCTGTGTTATAAAGTATCATTAAAGCACATAGCCCTTATTAGTCTCTTCTCATGCTCTCTAATGGTTAGGATTTGCTAATTAACTGAGTAATTAATGATACCTGCTAGCTGTTTTAGGCTACTGTTTTAGGTTCTATTTGGGGAATAAACGATGTTGAGGAAGGTTCTGACCTACCCTACTCACCTTCTAGGCAGAGTAAGACCTCCAGAGAGCTGGGCTGTGGGGGCGTACGCATTTAATCCCAACATTCAGCAGGCAGAGGCAGGTGGATCTTTGTGAGTTCAAGGCCAGCCTGGTGTACAGAGTTTCAGGACAACCAGGACTACACAGAGAAACCCTGTCTGGAAAGACAAACAAGACCTCCAGAGAATAAGTTGGCTGTGTAGGAGCTAAATAACAACCAGGAGAGCAGTGTTAAGAGGATTGGACAGGCCAGCTAAAGCTGCATAGTGAGACCGAGACCCTGCCCCCACCCCCAGAAAAGAGCATGTGATTGCCAGTCATAAATCACTTTGGTGAGAAGTGGGGCGCCTGGCCTCTACCCGTTCCTAAGTCACCGTGCCTCTGAGCCTTTCTCCAAAGTGTGACACGACCACTACTGACAAGCAGGGCTTCCTGGGCTCAGAGGCTCCCTCCCAACATGTACCCCTTCCTTTCTTCCTCTTAGGTGGCTGCCGAGTGATGGAACAGAAAGAGGTTCCCAGTGGGTTCAGGGATGAAGCTTGTGGCAAGGAAACTCCACCTGGCTATGCCGGCCTCTGTCAGTGAGTGCCTGCCAGAGCATGGAGCATGGCATTGGGAGGAGGGCTAGGTTGCCCAGGTAGTAAGATGGGGTTTCTGGGGCCAGTTGATCCTTCAGAGAGTAGGAGGGAGGGAGGGAGAGGACCCACTGGTCAAGGGTGTGGATGGGTAGCAGCAGGCAGTGTAGACATACTGGTTGACACTGCCTGCAAGTAGCCTTGTTCATGTAAGACTCTCAATGTGTCCGGGACAGCCAAGGCTGTGACACACAAACCTCATCTCAAAAAACAAAAACAAACAAAATCCTACTGTGGTCTGTTGAGACAGCTGTGTGTGGGTAAAGTTGCTTAGTGCCAACCATGGGGACCAAAGTTCTACCCCTCAAACCCACATGGCGAAAGGAGAAAACCAACTCACAAGTTGTCCTCTGACCTGCATGTTCCCTGTGACATGAGTATGGGTATGGGTTCATACAACATAACACACAGTTTAAAAAAAGGAAAAATCCCAATGCCCAACGAAGAGTTAAGCCTACGCAGGTGATATTAAGCAGAAGAGTAAATGTCCTGCCCCTCATTTCCCCAGGGCACACTACAAAGAGTATCTCGTGAGCCTCATCAATGCCCATTCGTTGGACCCAGCAACGCTGTACGAAGTGGAGGAGCTGGAGACGGCCACTGTCCGCTACCTACATGTACATCCCCAGCCAATGGATGGAGAGGATCTTCCTGCCTATCAGGCCCGATTGTTACAGGTAATGCTGCCGACCCAGCTTTACTCTGTCCTTGTCTTCCAGAATCATCTGTCGCAGCCCATTTCTCCACTCCAGGTTTTCAGTGTCGTCACCTCTCTTTGCAGAAGCTGACAGAAGAGGTACCCTTGGGACAGAGTATCGCCCGCAGGAGGAAGTAGCTGAGGGCAAGGGTCCTGATGAGGCTTCACCACCCTGCCCTCAGCAACAGCTCCGGCACCAATAAAGAGGCATCTTATGGCCTAGGCTTCTTGGTGGTCCTTCTTCCTGGCCTCACCATCTTGGGGCCTTAGGGAAAGGGAGGGATAGGCGAACAGAATCTTGTTGAAAGGGCCCTCCCTCTGCAGCCTGCCACCCAACCACTCCTCCTGGCCAGTGAGAAATGAAATGCCGTTGGATGGATGGACAAGAGAGACTCCACGTCTAACCACCTGGTGTGGGCTTCTCTGCTTCCTTTTTTCACCCCACCTAACCCAGCCGCTGTGTGAAACACCTCAAATATAACAAGCAGACACTTGGGGAGCACAAATGAGCCTCCAGGTCAAATCCAGAGACTGGCCTTCCTGAGAGGCCCCAGGGAGTCATCGTGGGAGGAAGGAGGGGACTGACCAAAGCCACCAGGCCCAGGGGCCTGCTCTGTTGCTGACACCTCAGACTCTGCTTCCCCCTGGTGGTGCCTGCTGGCCCTGCAGCTCAGACCACGTGATTTCTAGGAAACCACCTCCCCGGAGGAGAACTGAAACTTAGGGTGGGGACTGTAGAAAGGGGAGGAGAGAGCAGAAGCCTAGCCTAGCACAAGCTGAGCCTGTGATATCCTCGGTCGCTCAGGTAAGAGCAGCTCTGGAGGGAAATCAGCTGGAAGGGATTGAGACGAGGATGGCAAGGGCTCCCAGGCCCTGTGCCGGAGGGAGAGTCGGACCAGAAGGCTTGTGAACCAGGAAACGAGTGGCCTGGTGAGGCTGATCCTAGAGCTGTAGACAGGACGGGAGTTAGGCCATTTGCTCAGCCTCGGTTGACCTTTGTTTTCTTGCCTCTGGCCCTGCCTACTGCTTAACCCCTCCCTTTCCCCCAGATATCTGTCCCACCTACCCCTCTAGCATAGGAGAAGGGATGGGGGCAAAGGGGTAAGTAGATTGGGGGGATGCCTTAAAAACTGTTGCTTCTGGATGCTTGGGATCTACAGTGTGTCACTACTCGGACCAGGTCATTAAGGGAATCCTCCCAAATAATAACATTTCAAAAACACCTCAACATTAAGACCAACGTTTTCTACCAGGTGTGCTAACTTGGAATATCAAAAAGAAATAGTTTCTACCTCAGCATGTTTTGAGAGAGAAAAGAACTGGGAAGGGCTGTTGCAGGCAGCTGGCCCCAGTGACCAAAGGTTAGCCATTACTCCCAAATTGTTGATTCTTCCTGGGCATGATGGCATACACCTTTGACCCCAGCACTTCAAAGGCAGGTGGATCTCTGTGTTTAGGTCCAGCTTGGTCTGTATAGTTAGTCCCAGGCCAGCCAGAATGACTTGGTGAGAGCCTGTCTCAAGTCATACAAGTAGTTGTGTGTGTCCTGCTTTTCTTCCTAGGATGGCCTCCGGCAAAGCACGCTGCACCCGGAAGCTGCGGAGCTGGATAATACAACAAGTGGAGAGCGGGCAGTTCCCAGGGGTGTGCTGGGATGACACAGCCAAGACGATGTTCCGGATTCCCTGGAAGCATGCAGGCAAGCAAGACTTCCGGAAGGATCAGGATGCTGCCATATTCAAGGTGAGAGGGCCTGAAGCCACCATCCCCCCAAAGGATGCTGTCTGCACTGATGTGTTTATAGCCTAGTGCTTTTGTCTGTCTGGGTTTGGATAAAGGGAATACTACTAGAAAGCAGAATCAGCTGTATCATTTACAGAGCTACAGTAAATTACTGAGGGTTTCATCTGGCAAGAACAGAGTACAAACCCCACGCGGGCCCATCTAGACTCAAGGCCACGTACCTGTGCAGTCAGCCATTTGGAGGGACATGTGGAGTGTGTAATACTTTGTCTGTCTTCACTTAATGTCTTACCAGGCTTGGGCACTGTTTAAGAAAAAGCACAAGGATGAGGACATAGGAGCCCCTGCTGTCTGGAAGACTCGCCTGCGCTGTGCCCTCAACAAAAGTCCTGAATTTGAAGAGGTTCCTGAGAGAGGCCGTATGGATGTTGCTGAACCCTACAAAGTATATCGGATACTGCCACCAGGAACCCTCCCTGGTGAGTGGTCCCTGCCCAGCCGCCCATAGAATGAGCGGCTTGACATAGAGGAGGAGGATAAGCCTTCTGCAGTCTGGCAGGCCTTCCTGGGCTCCCCAGTCCTGCCCCGCTGTTTGTCGCTTTGGCTCCTCCCCACCATCTTTCTCTGCAACATCTCCACAGCCCAACCAAGAAGCCAGAAGTCACCGTCCAAGCGATCCAGCAGTGCCATGTCACCGGAGAGGGAAGAGAGCGACAAGGTAAGGAAGGCACCAAGAGCTTGACACCCAGATCTCCCTGTCTGCAAGACTCTGGACAGAGTGAGTGCTGGGGAGGGGATGATCAAAGGAAGAGGCATGCCAGTGACAGATGTGTCTGTAGGAGAGCGGGAAGACCAGCGGGGTTACAAGCCTCTCAGACTGTGCCAGCAGTGGCGGCAGCAGCAGCGGCTACAGCAGCAGCAGCAGCCCCGAGCCGGAGGAAGGTACAGTTTCTCCTGCCTTTGTGCCTCTGTTGCACCTTGTGTTCCGGGCCCTTTGGTCCCACTCTGAGTGACCAGTGCCTTTGCCTCCCCTCCAGGTGCTAGCACAAGCGAAGCCTGCATCCCAGAGGACCCGGTGTTCATGGAGAACCCACTGCCTCTCAACTCAGGTGCCTGGCCGCTCTGGCCCTTCCCCGCTCCCTTCCTCAGGTCTGCTTCCCCTGACCTTGCCGCATTGTCTGCTCAGCTAGGGCTCACCACAGACTGGGCCCACTTTAGCCCAGAGACAACACTTGTGTACTGTATCCATGTGGCTGCTTCTCCCTTCCCCAGGAGTAAAAAACACCTTCCATGCTCTTCCTTGAACAGCCGCACTATGACATTTATTTCTTTTTCTTTTTTCTTTTTTGTTATTGTGTTTACATTTTGTTTTTTGAGACAGAGTTTCTCTTGTATCCCTGGCTGTCCTGGAACTCTATGTGTAGACCAGGCTGGCCTCTCAAACTCAAAGATCCACCTGCTTCTGCCTCCCAAGTGCTGGGAGTAATGGTGTGTGGCAACACCGCCACCTAGTGAGATGTTTCTTTTTCTTTCTTTCTTTCTTTTTTTAAGATTTATTTATCATGTATACAGCGTTCTGTCTGCATGTATCCATGCAGGTCAGAAGAGGGCACCAGATCTCATTACGGATGGTTGTGAGCCACCATGTGGTTGCTGGGAAATGAACTCAGGACCCGTGGAAGAACAGTCAGTGGTCTTAACCTCTGAGCCATCTCTCCAGCCCCCAGTTTATTTCTTTATTGTCCAGAAAAATCCAGTCTCTGAGACCTCCTCATAAACTGCACAGCCATGAGCCTTCAGCTCTGACAGGCGTGGCCCCGGAACACAGGGACTTTTGCCAACCCTGTGCACACATGAAGGAGGAGGCACCTTTCCCTTTTTCTTTTCTTATCTTTTTTTTTTTTTCCTCAAGACAGGGTTTCTCTGTGGCTTTGGAGGCTGTCCTGGAACTAACTCTTGTAGACCAGGCTGGTTTCAAAGTCAGAGAGATCTGCCTGCCTCTGCCTCCCGAGCGCTGGGATTAAAGGTGTGTACCACCACCGCCTGGCCCTCCTTGCTTTTTTTAAAAGACAGTCTCATATTGCCCAGTCTGACCTCAGACTCACTTTGTAGCTCAAGATGATCTGGATCCCTGATCCTCCTGAGTGCCGGGCTTACAGATGTGTGCCGGGCTTACAGATGTGTGCCACCAGCCCGGGGTTTACTGCAGTGCTGGCGGTTTGTGCATGCTAGGCAGCCATTATTTCAGCTGAGCCAAAGATGCCTTCTCTAACTCAGAAGGAGCTGCCTCAGCCCAGCAACCTTGCCTTTCCCAGTGCTTGCTTGGATTCCTGCCCTGGGTTCAGTTTTCCCACACACAAAATGGGGACACTGGATCACTTGTTTTTTCTAAAACTTTGTGTCTATCGAGAGCACCGTGAGAAAACGGCCTCTTACTAGCCTTCAAGCTCCTCCTACACTAGTACAGATAGGCTTTTCTGTTCCCAGACTACTCGCTGCTGCTCACCTTCATCTACAGTGGGCGTGTGGTGGGCGAGACCAAGGTGCAGAGCCTAGACTGTCGCCTCGTGGCTGAGCCCTCGGTCTTGGAGAGCAGCATGCTACAGGTGGTGTTTCCTAAGCCTGATCCACTGGAGCCTATCCAGCACCTGCTGAGTCAGCTCGAGAGAGGCATCCTGGTGGCCAGCAACTCCAGAGGCCTCTTTGTTCAGCGCCTTTGTCCCATCCCCGTCTCCTGGAATGCACCTGAGGCCCCGCCTGGGCCCGGTCCACATCTGCTGCCCAGCAATAAGTGTGTGGAGCTCTTCAGTACCTCCTGCTTCTCTAGAGGTAAGGGCTTCCTAGCTGGGCACCTCGGCACCTACCCCTGTGTCATTGTCCCCTGGGCCTGACCTGAGTTCCCCGCTACCCTGGGTTGTCACTGCAGCCTGGGCATGGCACCCGCCCTTGTGTGACGCCCGTTACGTGTGGCCATAGCTTCAGCTCTGGCAGCATTTCCCTAGCCAAGGTCATGGTAGACGAGGTTCAGCTGGGGTTCAGCACAGGGGTGACACATCTGGGGAGCACTGTACAAACGAGTTACCACAGATTTAAGCCTGTGACCGTCTCCACACACACTGGAACACACAACTCCGTTTGTGGAAGGGTCAAGACATCTTACACTCTTGCCACACACACCCCCATCTCTGCCATGCTGCAGGGATCTCCTAAGACGGTCCTTCTGTCCACCCTGGAAATTCTAGTTGAGCCTCTGAATGGGAACATAGACAGGAGCAGAGTGAGGATCTTGGGGGATAGAGTGTAGGTGTCCCAGGGTTCGTGGTGCCTAGTGTTAGGTATAAGCAAACAACAAAGGGTTGGTAGCCAGGGCTGCTGCTTCTGAGGACCCCAAGGCACCCTTCCTACTGCATTCGGAGACAGCTTAGTTCCTAGCATCTCTAAGTCACAGCTCTGCTAGCCTTGGCGTCCTTGTCACCCCGTTCCCAACTGTATCTGCATCTGGCTTCCCAGACAACTCCACTTTACTCATGGCCCTCTATGTTGTTAGTTTCTGTTTTTGAACCAAGTCCTTACATCGCTCCTGGTGGCCTGGAACTCCCTGAGTACACCAGGCTACTTCAAATTCATGGCAACTCTGCTGCCCCAGCCTGAGTGCTGGGGTTATAGGCGTACACCACCATGCCTGGCCAGACTGCCATGCCTGCCCTCCCTCTTCTCTCTTCCAACCCTTTGTCCTTTTTCTTTCAGACTTGGCCCAGTACTTCCAGGGCCAGGGCCCCCCACCCAAGTTCCAGGCAACATTGCATTTCTGGGAGGAGAGGCCTGACTCTAACCATACCCAGGAGAATCTTATCACAGTGCAGGTGAGCTCCATTCCAAGACCAGATCGATGTTGATTGGTTGCAGAAGAACTGTTCCTAAGGGGAAAGAGCTATGGGATATGACTGTCCCTGATGCTTATGAGGCCTGTTCCTCATTTTTTCTGGTACAGATGGAGCAGGCCTTTGCCCGGGATTTACTGGAGAAGATTCCAGAGGAGCAGAAAGCCGCTTGGTTCCTGGTACAGAACCCAGAACACCCATCTGCCACTTTACCACTCTGAAATAGACTTGTTCTCCACACCATTGGTCTGCCTGCTTTGTGTTAAATGTCGCTGTGGGTTATACAACATGGCTGGAAGGGCAGGGTCTTTTTATCCTTAAAATAACTATTTTGAGAGCCTCTTGGTAAATATTTGTAATCTCAGCACTTGGGAGACAGACTGAATGACTTTTATTTACTTTTTGTAGATACACCCTCTTTCATCTCTAAGGAATTGGAAAGATCCAAGTGGTGTGATATCAGAAGGAATTTTGCTCTCTTTCCAACCCCTAACTCTAAATCCAAGCACTTTATGTTTCCTTCCTAGAATTCAAAATAAAATTTAACTGGGTGGGGTAGGGCACACCTGTAACCTTGGCACCTGTGGGGAAGAGGCAGGAAGAGTGAATTCAAGGCCAACCTTGGTGACATTATGACCCTGTCTCCAACAAATAAATAAAAGCTTTTTAAAAGATAGATGGGTATGTGATATGTTGGGAGGAGGTACCAGGGGTTACAGGGGAATTGTAAAGATACAGAAGTGGTATCTAGTAGCTGGGTTCTCTTCCTGATGACACCTCCAGGTTCTTTTGCTTTCCTCTGCCAGAAGGACTAGCTGGAATGCCATCTGGCTTCAAGACTAATCTCAAACACATGGTCATTCTCCTGCCGCAGCCTCGTAAGTGCTGGGGTTACAGACATAGACCATCCATGACCCTTCTATTTTGTTTTTCAGACTTGACATAGTACTTCCAAGGCCAGGGGCCCCCATCCAAGGTTCAGACAACCAAACTGGGGAAAGGATTGGGAGTCAGTCTCTTAAGAGCAAATGGCACTGTAGCCACTGGTGGTTCAAATGAGAATAGCCTCTGTGTTCTCATACATTGGAAACCCCCCCCCCAAGGCAGGGTTTCTTTGTGTAGCCTAGGCTGTCCTGGAACTCTTTGTAGATCAGGCTTTTGAGGCTAGCCTCTGCCTCCTAAGTGCTGGGATTAAAGGCGTGTGCCACAGCCGCCACCACCGCCTGGCACACATATATTGAATAATTGGTCCTCAGTGGAACTGTTTGGGAATGGTTAGGAGGTGTGAACTTGTTGGGCAAGTTGTGTCACTGGCAGTGGGCTTTGAGGTTTCAAAAGACTCATGCTGGGTGGTGGTGGCGCACCTTTAATCCTAGCACTCCGGAGGCAGAGGCAGGTGGATCTCTGTGAGTTTGAGGCCAGCCGGGTCTACAGAAGGTTCCAGGACAGCCAGGGCTGTTACACAGAGAAACCCTGTCTCAAAACACCAAACCACAGAGAGAGAGAGAGAGAGAGAGAGAGAGAGAGAGAGAGAGAGAGAGAGAGAGAGAGAGAGAGAGGGAGAGGGAGAGGGAGAGGGAGAGGGAGAGGGAGAGAGAGACAGAGAGAGAGAGAGAGAGAGAGAGAGGGGAGAGAGAGACAGAGAGAGAGGGGGGGGAGACAGAGAGAGAGAGAGACAGAGAGAGAGAGGGGGGAGACAGAGAGAGAGAGAGACAGAGAGAGAGAGAGAGCGCGCGCCATGGTCTAGCACCGTGTTCACTGAAACTTGAGTGCTTGCAATCAGCTGACACTCTTTTGACTCTGTCATTTTGTCACTAAATGGGGATGCTTTTCCTTCACTCTCGTCACTTCCAACACTTGGTTTGACCGTCATCTGACTGCCGGCACCTTCAGCATCCCCATTCCTGCACGTAACATCGGGTTACTTTCCTTCTTGCCGTGGCACAGGCCTCCAGAGGCTCGCTCACATGCTCGCATGATCAGGTCTAGATGCGTAAGTCTTTACAGGACCTTGCTGGACTCTGTTGTGGTTTTCTGCCTCCTTGAGCCTTTTTCCTTCCCTTCAGTCTCTCATCCCTCAGGGAAGCTGAGCGTACACGGGGAGGTGCTGCCTTTGTGCCTTCAGTTCTCTGAAGCCCCCTCGGACCTTTGGCCCTGTTCTAAAGTGCTTCTGTGTCTTCCATTTTTCTCTTGGACCCCACATGTAAGCCCAAATGGCAATGGTCACTCTTCAAACAAACCTTTGAGGGGATGGACGTGGCAGTGCACTTTTAATCCCAGCACTCAGGAAGCAGAGGCAGGCTGACCTCTGAATTCTGGGCCAGCCAGAGGTACATACAAAGTGAGACCCTGTCTCAAAGATTTTTAAGAGTTGGTGGGGGTGAGATTGCTTAGTGGGTAAAGGTATCTGCTGCCAGTCTCAAGCAATTACCTCAGCCTTTGTCCAGTTCTGCTACAAGCCTATAAAAGTCCTAGAGAAAGAAATTCAGTGACTTTTCCCTCTCTTAGGATCCCTGCCCATTCTTGGGAGTCCCCCTTGTCATTTTCTCACTTTTCTGTAACTTTAAAAATATTATTTGTTTATTATGCTTGCATGTATGTCTGCATGCCTAAAAAGGGCACCAGATCCCATTGTAGATTGTGAGCCACCATATGGTTCCTGGGAATTGAACTCAGGTCCTCTGGAAGAACAGCCAGTGCTCTTAACCTCTGAGCTGTCTCTCCAGCCCCAGCTTTTCTGTAACTTTTAGGTTATTTTAATTTTACTGTGTATAGGGGCGTTTTTGCCTACATATGTCTCTGTCCCACACGAGTGCCTGCGGTCCATGGAGCCCAGAAGAGGACCTCAGATCATTTGGAACTGGGATGGATGTGGGTCCCCTGGAAGAGCAACGCATGCTCTTAGCCTCTGAGCCACCTCTCCAGCCCACTTTTCTATAATTCTAATACAGCTTGCTTCTGCTTTGCCTTCTCCCACAAGACCGTGCCACTGACTCAGGTTGACCTTTGGCGACTTTGAGTGTCTGACACATTAGAAGCCTGAGCCAAGAGAGGTCCTATTGTTCTTAAAAGCCCTCATCAGTTCCATCATCACCACAAGTCTCTTGGTTCTTTTCACATCCTCTCTGTTCCCACTCTTGTCTGCCTTTAGCCTATCCTCAACACAGTACAGAGAAACTCTCAACCCAAGTCTGGTCATGTCACTCCTGTGCTTAAAATTATCCTTGACTTCCAACTCCCTCAAGGTAACAACCAAGACCCTGAAAATGACCTCCAGTGTTAAACAGTACCCAGCCACCTTCCCAGTTCATCCTTTGCCCTTCCCATGATGCTTTGCTCCAGGCTCCTTGAACCCACTAAACATTTGTTTGTTCTTTTTTCTAAAATACTGTTCCTTGCTGGCTGGTGGCACATGCACTGGAGGCAGAGGCAGGAGGATCTCTGTGAATCTGAGGCCAGCCTGGTCTATAGAGCGAGTTCCAAGTCAGCAAGAGCTACACAGACACTGTCTCAGAAATCCAAATAATATGATAATAGAATCTTACCGCAGGCAGTCACATGACCTTCTTTTCAAAATATCATCTCTTTAAAGCTCCCCTGGGTATCCCATACAAGTTGTCCATATCTTCTGGTCCCTCTCCACAATTAACTTTATTTTTTTTAATTTTTAAGAGTGTGTGTGTGTGTGTGGCCGGGTGGTGGTGGCACATGCCTTTAATCCCAGCACTTGGGAGGCAGAGGCAGGTGGATCTCTGTGAGTTCGAGACCAAGCCTGGTCTACCGAGGGAGTTCCAGGACAGGCTCCAAAACAATACAGAGAAACCCTGTCTCAAAAAACCAAAAAAAAAGAGAGAGAGAGAGAGAGAGAGAGAGAGTGTGTGTGTGTGTTGTGTGCCTACATGTGTGTGTATGTGTGTGTATGGTGTGTGCCTGCATGTGTGTGTACGTGTGTGTGCATGTGTGGGTGCCTGTGTCTGTGTCTGTGTGTGCAATAGGAGTTGGATCCCCCTTGAACAGGAGTTTCAGATAGTTGATGACTGAGCTGCCTGATGTGGGTGCTGGGAATCAAATTTGAATTCTCCAGAAGAGCTGTGCATGTTCTTAACCACTGAGCCATCTCTGACACACACACTGAAGTTCAAACTCGATAGTGCTGCCATCTTACACACTTGTGTTTACTTATCATCTCTCCTTCCCTACTCCTGAGAACAGGGAACACAGTGTTCCTTGTCTGTCCCCAGTGGCATGTGAGAGGCACGTTGTAAGTGCGTGTTGAACTGAATGGATGAATGATGGCCAGATTACTCTGTGTACCGTGTGTCTCCTGAATCTAAAAGTAGACACGGAGCACCTTCTGGTCAGGGCTTGCACTTTGTCTTTGAGTGACAAAGTGACACTTCAACTATTGAAATAACCAGTGTAGCCAAGCACAGTAGGATAGGGATTGGGAATTCTAGAACTCAAAACAGCAAAATTCCAAGACAGGCTCTGTGGTGTAGAGAAATCATGTGGGCTTGTGCTCCCTCCTGCCCCCCCCCCTTGCAAAGATGGGACTCATGCCTGGTTCCTCAATCCCTGTGTTACTATCTTTTATTTAAGGGTAGGTGCGCTCTCATGCACCAGTCTGAGTATTTGCTGTGTAGCACATTCCTGCAAGAGCTGGAGAAAGTCAGAAACTGGCAGAAGGGTGGGGGTGCATGTCTTTAATCCCAGCACGTGGGAGGCAGAGACTGTCGGGTCCCTGTGTGAGTTCAAGTTCAACCTGGTCTAAAGAGTCAGTTCCAGGACAGCCAAAGCTGCATGGGGAGACCCTGTCTCAAAAAAACAAAAACAAACAAACAAAAAAACTCAGCAAATATGGGCAGAGAGAGGTCTCAGTTGTTAAGAGCATTGACTCCTTTGCAGAGGATACAGATTTGATTCCTTTCTTTTTCTTTTTTTTTTTGGGGGGGGTTTCGAGACAGGGTTTCTCTGCATTGTTTTAGAGGCTGTCCTGGAACTCACTCTGTAGACCAGGCTGGCCTCGAACTCAGAGATCTGCCTGCCTCGGCCTTCAAAGTCCTGGGATTAAAGGCATGTGCCACCATAACCTTCTTTATTTTTGGTCGTTTATTTATTTATTTATTTTTGAAGCAAGGCCTCAGCTAGCCCAAGCTGACCACGCTGTATGGGCCAGGCTGACCTTAAACTCTAACACCTTCCTGCCTCCGCCTCCCTCAATGCTGGGATTATACATAGTATACTCTACCTCTCGATCTCTTTTGGTTTTGGCCCTGTACAGTTGTAAATACAGGGCAACTGGACATCCACTTGACAAATACTGTACTTACGAAGCCAGACATACACTGGAAAAGGTGACCCTGCTCCCAAAAGCTCCAGACTGAAGGGAACAAAGACAGGTCAGTTCAACTGCCCAGAACTAAGTTTCTATCAGAGCCAGCCCTGGAGCCAAGCAGGGAAGGATAGTCTAAGGCAAAGAATGGTTTTATAAAGGCAGAGACACCAGAGTAAAAGATATTTATAACTTGGGCACCACACTAATAATAAGTTTACACAGAAAGTTATTTGAGGGGCTGACAATATGACTCTTAGGTAAAGGCACCTGCCACCAATCGTAAGGACTCGGGTTCAGTCTACCGCAGACCTCATGTGGTAGAAGTATGAAACTGACTCCAG